TGCTTGTGGATGGCCTTGGGTTGCAGCAGTCTAGAGGCACGATCATTGGAAGGCGGTGAAGAGTTAGGTTAAAGCCTGTTTTTTCACTTCCAATTGCCTGTTTTTATATATATTTTTTTTATTTTTCGGTACTGAGGATTGAGCTCTGGGGCACCCAACCACTGAGACTCATCCCCAGCCCTACTTTGTATTTTATTTAGAGACAGGATCTCACCGAGTTGCTTAGTGCCTCGCTTTTGCTGAGGCTGGCTTTGAACTCACCATCCTCCTGCCTCAGCCTCCCAGCCCCTGGGTTTACAGGCTTGTGCTACAGTGCCTGGCTCCAATAGCCTGTTAATGATGTGCAACACACACGTGCATGCTCAGGCAGGCTTACGCACACACACACACACACACACACACACACCTCAGACCACGGCTTCCTGGAAGGTTGGGGTAAGTGTTTTATTTCTCTCTTTCTCCATCCAGGATGCTGCAAAAGTTCTGGCACAGAAACGCTCATAAATCCAGCCCTGACGGTCGCCTGGAGACATGGGGGAAGAATGTCACTGCCAACCTGGCCCTGGCCCCACATTCCACAGATAAGACAACTGAGGTCTGAGAGAAGGCCTCAGGCCAAATCAACAAAGGAGGACAGGGCCATGTCCACGCAGGACTGGAACCCGGATCACCTCCCCTCCACACCCACTTCCTCTGCCCTCCCCATCCAGAGAGGCTGCACCAAGCTTCCTGGAACGGCTTGCCTAATTCCAAATAGCTTTCTTGTCTGGTCTGTTTGACACGGGGCCTCCCTCAGGAGGAAACGCAGGGACCACTGGGGAGGTGTTTGAGGAACCAAAACCTGTACCCTCTTGCTTCTCCTAACTCTGCCCACACAAACTGTTATATCAGATCTCAAGTTAAAAACTTAAGTTCACAGGGCAGGGGCTAGGCTGGTGGCCCTTCCCAGTGATGTCTGATGTTCCCTTAATAAAAGGAGTCTGGAAATGCTACCTGAGATCTCCCCCACCTGAAGCAGCGCATTACATATTAGCATATAAAAGAATCTAAGTCAAGGCAAAAAGAAATCTATCAAATTTTGCATAATCCCGTTCTTCAAGATTACATAACCACACAGCCCTTTTTCTTCAAGTTCCTGTTTTCATCTCTATCAGTTACGGACAGCTTTTGCTGTTGCATCAAACACTTCAGTCAGGTTGGTTTGCACAACTCAGAGGATGTGTTAGTTTTTGTAAGCAAAAAGTCCAGAAGTCTGGAGGATCTCAGGCATAGTTTGATCAAGGCCATAGCTCTATCACTTAGGGATTCCTTTGCGTCTGCATCCCTTCCTCTGAGTGCTTGTTAGTTCCATCCTCAGGCTAGGTTATCTCGTGGGACCAAAATGACTGCAGTGATTCCAGGTATCCTTATGGACCAGATGCCCTATCTGAACCATGTACTCTCCTCTGAGCCAATCACCAGGCAAGTGGAATGGGCATTGACCAATAAGAGCCCACAGCTGGGATGAAACCATAACATCTTCCACGAAGTCTGTGAATGTCTCTCCTAGGAGCACCCATCCTACCTCCCCATCCTGTTCTACCCCGTTGATTAAACCTTGATTGGTTCCCAAGGTGCTGATAAGCCATGGGTCTCAAGGAAGATAGACCCTCCCAGAGCCCTGGGGTGAATCTTGGGGGGTCCAGAGATCATGGTCACTTTGCCTGTCTTCACTAACAGTTGGCTCAGGAATGGCCACCTGATGTGGCAACCTCTTGGAACCAAGAGAAACAACTGCGAGAACAGCTGCCAACTTCCCAGGGATGGTGAACCAGGGATATGGAGGGCAGGGGCCAGACGGCCTCGTGGGACAGTAGCACACCCTCCGGACTGCTGTCTCCTGACATCCTATTATAAAAAGTTAGGAGAGCCTGGTTGGTTAAGCGGAAGACATTCCTAACAGACACAAAGCCGTCTTTTTGGTTTTGTTGCTGTTGTTGTTGTTGTTTAGTTTTTTTCAAAACAAAACTGTGAGAGCACAGACACAGCTTTGGAGACGCAGTTTGGGTTTTCTTGGATCTCAGATACTTTTAAAACCCCAGGGACATTTGCAAGAAGACAGATCAGCCTTTGCCACCACCCAGCGAGGGTTGTGCTCCCTGACCCAGGTGGGGGAGAGCCACGGAGCAGCCGCAGAAGGGGCGCTGCCTCCTCTGCTCCCGTGGAGGGGCGCCCTGGGCTCGCTCTGGGGCATATTTATTGAAGAGGCCTACGGTGATGCCAACCTGAATGTGCATTCCTAAATCCAGACACTGGCTCAGAAAAATCTTTCCAAGCCTTAAACTTGTCTCTCCTCCCCATCCTGCTCATTCCATTTCTGGACTCTCTCGTGAGGAAGTAACCCACACTGAGATGAGAGAATTCCAAGAATGTCAATATTTTCACCACAGCTGCAAACACCATAGTCCAAACAGACCCTGATTAAATCTAAATGCCTAACAACAGGTGAAAGATTGAAAACTATCTGCTTTATGGAATATTATGGGCTTATGAAAAATGATAAGTTCTTAATAGCCTGGAGGAAAGTCAGCTATAACTATATACAGAGAGAGAGAGAGAGAGAGAGAGAGAGAGAGAGAGAGAGAGAGGGAGAGGGAGAGGGAGAGGGAGAGAGGAGGGGAGGGTGAGGAAGGCAATGTTCTCAATTATATAAAAATTGCATGGAGAAAAAATAAACCAGAAGAGAAACACACTAATATGTTAACAGTGATTGTGTCTGGTTAGGGTTATTATAAGTACTTTGTTGGGGAATTTTTCCTGCTGTTCTATATTTTTCCATTTTCTCTGTATGTTCTACTTTTGTGAGCAGAAAGAATAAAATCGACTTTTCTTTTTAAAGCTTCCAGGACCCTCCACTGTGTGAGATCATTGCTGTTGTCTCCCCTCCAGTAAAGCAAGTAATCAAGGGCTACCTGGAGTGGATGACCCCCTTCTGCAAAAAGGGGTTCACGTCCAAAATAAAAACAGCTTCCAAACCAGCATATTTGATTAATAGCTTGAAATTCTTTCAAGAGGCAAAGGGAATAGTGGGAAAAGGGGAAGATCAACACCCTATTTTTAAATAGTGACGTGAGCTCACAGGAACTAAAGGCAAAGAGAGGTACACACCATTTCAGGCCTCATGCAAATCCATGCAAATGAGGCATGCTCCCTAGCTAAGCAAGAATCCTGGGTCTGAGCTCCCACCTGCTCCTGGGTCTCCCAAGGTGTGGGGGGAGGGAGGAGAGGCTGCAATGATGACCTGCATTCATCGAGCACCTACTAAGTGCCCGGCTTGCAAAGCAGTTTCACAGGCTGTGCTGACTCACCATCACCTGAGATATAGGTAAGGTCATCATCCCCAATTTGCAGGCATATTGAGGGGTGCTCAGAGAAGGAATTGGCTTGTGTAAGGTCACAGAGATCAGCTGCAAAACCTATGGAACTGGTGACTAGCTTACACAGCGCTGGGGGTACAAGGACATGTGCCTATGATGGGTTCAGGGTCAGTCATTGGGGGAAGGAGAAATGTAGTCTGCTGGGGCCCCCCCAAAACCCAAAGGTCTGGAACACCTGGATGCAATATCATGTGACATTCAGGTGGGACACATGTAAGTTCCAGACAGAACTTGGACCTAACCTGGCCTTTGCTCTCTGCCTGCAGACACCTCCCAGGGCTGCCATAACTCCCAGAGGAATCTTTGCTCAAAGACCACCTGAGCATCTGACCCTTCTACCTGACATCACCTGCCTATTTCTCTGCCCACTTCTCCCAGCCCCAGTGTCTATTACCCGCCCTGCTTGGCTCCGCTTCACGGTGCTTACACTTCTCTGGCTTTATTATATATGTATTTGCTTATTGATAAGAAAACCTGCTCCATGAGGGTAGAGAGTTTAGCTCCTGGATTCGCCTCTGTGCTTCCAGTGCCTGGTACATTCTTGGCGTTCAAGACACACGTGTGAAATGCATTAACGAATCCATAAATGAACCTCAACTTCCCCAGGACATGGCTACACAACCTTAGACAAGGATGATAATGACAGAATCATGAATGTACATTATTTGTTTTATTCTATTTCTGAGCGCATATGTTTACATGCCTGTCTTCAATTGATCCTCACTTTTGCCTTCTGAGTCAGGAAACACAAATATTCCCATTAGACAGCTACAAAAATAGAGGCTCCGAGGAGTCAGGGGAACTACCAGCTATAACCAGCTGATCAAACTTGTGGGACACTTTTTTAGGAGGTACCAGGGATTGAACTCAGGGGCACTCGACTGTGAAGCCACATCCTGAGCCCTTTTTATTGTATTTCATTTAGAGACAGGGTCTCGATGAGTTGCTTAGCTCCTCACTTTTGCTGAGGCTGGCTTGGAACTCATGATCCTCCTGCCTCAGCCTCCCGAGCCACTGGGATTACAGGTGTGCACCACCACGCCCAGCCAGCTAAGCTGGTCAGATTCTAGAACCCACTTTCCTACCTGTCCTGTGATGCCCCAGGTCAGGAACCACATCTGTTTTCTCACCTGACACCTAAAACCAGTTACCCACCCTTGGAATATAGTCAATAAACCAGGGCTTCTCAGAGCAGCCATGGACCAGCCCCACCCGTTGGGACCTCGTTAGCACTGGTGATTCTCGGGTCCCCCCTGCAGACCTCAGGAACATGGATGCACACCAGAGGGTAAGAACCCTGGGGACAAATGACTGCACGTCTGCAAGCCTGCCACCCCCTCCGTGAAGCAGGGCGGATCATCCACCGGGTCTCAGTGAGGACAATAGGAGAATCTCGCCCAGCACAGACCGACAGGGGATCCCGGTCTCCTGATTCCTCCCCACCGGCTATTGGAGGAAAAGTTTTCAGCTCCAATTTCAGGCCTTTGATTTCAGCCTCGTCTGGCCGGGGAGATGCCAGCTTGTCAGAGGGAACCGGGAGCCGCCAGTGATGGAGTGAGAGGAGGAGGATCTATTATTAATTACCATGTAACATTGATTAAGAGCCCACGGGGCACGGCAGCTGCAGGAGCTTGGGAGAGCCTCCGTTTCTGCCTGGAGGAAAAAATGATTAGCAACATTATGAAAGGAAATATTCATCCTGGAGCCGCCCTGAGCGGACACCTCCAGGGACGGGGGATTTGCCTCTTGCAGGGATCCTTCCTCCTGGGGAAGGGATGGCTTGCCTCCCCAGCTGGGGACAGACCTGCTGGGGCGGGAGGGTAGACCTGCAGACCTCCAGCCCGCAGGTGGCTGTCAGGCAGATTGACAGATTGCAGATCTGAAAGCCCAGCTCTCGGGGTCCAGAGATGCCCACGTGGCCTCTCGAGAAAGTGGTTCCAGGGGCTGGAGTCATTTTGATTTTTTGAGATTGAGGCAGTGAGGGTTTGATGTCAAGTCTCTCAGTCTCTAAAAAGGGCTGAGACAGAGTATGGGTTGGCTGCTTTTATGGCACCTCAACTGCCTTTGTCACATTTCATACTTTCCCCAGCCCCACCCACCAAGGCTCAGAGGGGCACTCACATGGGAAGTTGGTGGAGCGGCTGGGATCCCAGCCCATGGGTGCTTCCAGGACTCTGGCTCTTTCCATTGTACCCTTTGGTGTCCTCAGGGATCTTTTCCGTGTGTCCTCAAACCATCCAAATAGAACACATTCCAGATTGTCTGGCCGCAGCCCAACCCAAGCCACATCCCTCTGAACTGTGTCTCACACCCAGATGTAGAAACTCCTAACTGAGCAACACATCCGGGTGATCGATTTGGACACTCACTAGTCCCCACTACCCTGGGCTCCTCCCGGAAGTTGGTGCCAAGGAGCCTCCCCTCCCCCAACCCCCCCATGGGCCAGCCTCTGACCTTTGACCTCAATTTCCAAGAGGGTCAAGAGGAAAACCAATCACCTTTCACTTCGCTCCATGGAATTCTATGTCGTCTGCCACTGACTGTCTGGGACACCTCAGGTAGGTCCCTGCTCTTCTCTGGAAACTGATTTTTCTATAGGCCAAAGAGCACTCGCTGGACCCATAAGGCAAGTTCCTGACTGCTTTAGTTCTTTTTTTTTTAATAAATTCATACTTTATATATATATATATATATATATTTATCTATATATATATATATTTAAATATTTTTAGTTGTTGATGGACTTTATTTTATTTATTTGTATGTGGTGCCGAGAATTGAACCCAGTGCCTCACGCATGCTAGGTCAGTGCTCTACCGCTGAGCCCCAGCCCCAGCCCCTGACCCCTTTAGCTCTATGATGGAGTCATGGACCAAGTCGTTCTGAAAGGCTGGAGTAGGCAGACGACCTTCATAGGTGGTAACAATGGCGATGGCGGTGATACCAAGACACCAGCCAAGGTGTCTGAATGTCCACAGAGTACCAGGTGCCCAACATGGACTGCTGTGTGGAAACCTGAGGCCAACTCCATGGGGAAGGTGGCCTCGTAAGTGGCATTTCACAGAAGATGAGATGACACTCAGTCTACAGTGTGTCCCCCAGAAAGTGTGTGTTGGTACTTGAATGGATTAGGCTTTGAGCTGCAAGTGCCCCCCCCTCTCATGCCTCCCCTCTTACCCTCTACCTTTGGCCATGGGGGGACCCAGCAAGAAGACCTTACTCCATGACTGTCCCTTGACCGTGGACTTCCCAGCCTCCAGAACCCTGAGCCATCTAAACGGCTGTGGTTGACAAATTACCCGCCTGCGGTGTTCCCAGAGAGCAGCCTGAGACGGACCACGACACTCAGAGAGTGCCCGCCAACGTCTACGCCACGTCCCCTCCGGTGGCTACACAACATGAGGCTTGTGACCACCTTCTAAATTTCTCCATTTGTAATCCAAACCATACCCAAGGTCCCCGGGGGCTGAGCAATCTGCTCTGTTTCCCAGGAAACCATTTTGAGTCTTAAAGATTTATTAAGGGGTCTACAAACTTGGGGGAGAATTTTTACACTGGTACAGGCATCTCAAGATCCCCAGGGAGGGAGGGAAGGAACGTCCCATGCTGGCAGGTGTGCAAGCCAAAGCCAGCGTCGCATTCAGGGGATGTCATAGTAAGGATTCTAACAGATGGGAAGAAGATAGGATGAGTCTAAAACAACAACAACCACAAAAAACAGTAAAGAGCCACCCAGACGGGCTGGGTTCTTTTCTCTCTTACTTAGGTAAGTGATCTTGGGTAATTTGCTTAACTTTTCTTTGCTCAATTTTCTTGCCTTTAAAACAGAACTAATAATAGTCCCCCATCTACTCTGTCTCGCTGTAGGATTATATAAATCAATATGTGGGGAACACGGAGTGCCTCGCACATGGCCATCTATCAAGCATTAGTTATTACTTTCAAACTTTTATTTTCACTCTGGAGTCCTGAATCCCAGTGAAGGCTTCGGCCGATGCAGTAGAAGAAATAGATCAAAGAGAAGCCACCCATCTGCTGGGGTAGGGGAGCTGGAGCACAGGGTCCCTGTCAAACCTGCGTCCTTCCCACACCGCCTCCCATTACATCAAGGGGAGGTGACCACACCGCTCAAGGCCACCCCACCTCCGAGGCTGTTCGGAGGTTCAGAATCCAGTCTGTGGGCCCCTCAGAACTAGGGCACTGGGCTACTCCACTGCACACACGGGGAGACTGAGGCCCAGAGGGGAACGGGAACTTGCTGAGGTCACCAGCCAGTTGAGACACAAGTTCCCTCTGGAGGGCAGATGGACTTCTTAGTCATCTTCCCAGTAAGATGTCAACAGCTGCAACACCAGGTCACATCCTGTGCGGACTCTTCTGTCCCTCTCTGCGTGTTGCCCCAGAGGGACCCAGGGCCTTGGCTCCGGGAAGCGGGCACCAGAGTCCTGCCTGCTGGGAACTCAGAGAGGGGAAGTCACACTTGGAGGAAGGAGATGGGGACGGGCCCCAGAGCCAGGCAGCCAGAAGACAGCAGGGTGGAAGGGAGTTGGACGTGGCAGCTCAGGCTTCTCAGGCCCAGAGAAGTGCCACAGCCAGGCCGGGACCAAACCTGGGAGGGAGCAATCTGGAATAAACAGGGGCAGAAGGGTCCCCACATTTGCCACCACTGCCCCCACTCCACCCCAGGACTCCGCTGTCCTATGTGACAAGGCCCGGGGTGACTGTCGGGTAGGCATCCATCAAGGCCTCCTGGGAGAGGCCTGTGGGACCAGACTGTCCCTGCACAGAGAAGACACGAGCCCAGAGAGGGGTCTTGTCCAAAGTGGAACAGAGGTCAGGGCAGAGCTGGGACGGCACCTCAGGCTCCCGGGGCCTCTTTGTTTCCCTAGGCCCCGGGGCCTCGACTTGGTGTCTATGGTCATGATGATGGCGACAGCAAGATGAGAGACATTTTATTTTTTTCTTATGTGCCTACCACAGGGCAGACACGGCCCCAAGGCCCCACATGACTGAACCGTCTACATCCTCCTAAAACAACCCCTGGGAAAGGACTGTGGTCCCCATGTTGCAGATGAGGAAACCCAGGCACATCTAGGTTGCAGAAGGTGCCTGAGGCTACGGCCGGCCTTGGAGGGACAGGGATTCAGGCTCGACAGCTTGGCTGGTGCATGAACCATATTTATTCACCATCCTGACGACAGCAAGAGGACTTTCTTTCAGGAAGTTCAAGCCTCAGTGAGCCTGGGTGGGGGACCCTTCGCTTCAGAACCCGTCTGGCTCTGTGGAAGCCATGCGTGGGCAGCTGCCTCCCACGGAGCCAGTCACCCCTCTTACCCAGGCTGCTAGGGTACAGAACACTAGCTGTCCCAACTTCCTTTTTGACTAGGAGTGACACAGAACACGGATTCGGCCAATGAGATTAGGGGTCCCAGAGACAAGTGTTCCTCTTTAACTAGAAAGCCCTTCCCTTCGTGCTTAGCCCTTCCCCTTCTTCCTATGGAACAGGGGATATAATGCCTGAGACATGGCAGTCAGTTTTTAACCAGGAGGTAACAGGAACTAGGGTAAAAGTCTACTCGTTAAAGACAGCAAAGACTTGGATCCCCCAAGGCAACAAGGAGAGCCATTCTTGTCCTGGATAGTGTATTCTGGGCTCCTTGTCACATGAGATAAGAAGGGCCAACTGGATTATGTCTCTGCTGCAGAGTTTCATTATTTGTAGCTAAATTCATTCCTAACTTTCACCAAGGTGGCCTAGATGGGACCCCAGGACTGCTTGACCAAGTCCAGGGAGCCTCTGGGGAATGACTCTGCCTCCTTGAAGTCATACCTTCCCCCCCAACCCCCACCCATCTCTCCCAAAATGCACCCGTGCTAAGCCTTTGCTTGGACCAGGGCTCAGAAACAGCTCCTGAGCAATTAAATTGCTCCTCAGGCCACACGGTGACCAGCAGCCCCCAGACCAACCACACAAACCCCTTTGAGAATCCTGAGGAAGGGCCAGGGGTCTTGCCCTGCGGCCACCCACCATGAAGATTCCAGCAGCCGGGGCTGGGGATGTGGCTCAAGTGGTAGCGCACTCGCCTGGCATGCGTGCGGCCCGGGTTCGATCCTCAGCACCACATACAAACAAAGATGTTGTATTCGCCGATAACTAAAAAATAAATATTAAAATCCTCTCTCTCTTTCTCTTTAAAAAAAATAAAAAGAAATGTCATTGTGTGTGTTATAATTAAAAAAAAAAAAAAAGATTCCAGCAGCCTAAGTGCCCAGCCGGCTGGTCTTCCAGGAAGCACGTTTGATCTGGCCATGGCTACCCACTGCATCCACCCCTCCTGGGACTACTGGGTGTGAATGGGGTGGTGAGGGGTGGGGAGGTTGCAGCTACTCACAGGTGAACAGAGCCACCAAAGCCCCTGCCTGCCGCCGGCGTTCTCAGCCACACTCCCCGGGAACCAGGAGGGAGAGCAGGAGACAGTAAGCAAAGCAAGCAGGCAGATGTCTCTTGATGCCAGCCCTCAGCTTTTGGAGACACTTTACAGTTTACATTGCCTCCCTGCCTCTCCTCAACAGCTCCTTGAAATACAGACCCACTTCCCCATTTTACAGAAGAAACATAAGCACAACCAGGGAACTAGGCAGAGACTTCCTGATCCACAGGGGTGCACCCCTGTCATCCCAGCAACTCAGGAGGCTGAGGCAGGAGGATTGCAAGTTCGAGGCCAGCCGCAGCACCTTAGGAGATCCTAAGCAACTTAGCAAGACCCTGTCTCCAAATAAGAAATAAAAAGGGCCAGGGATGTGGCTCAGTGGTAAAGCACCCAGATTTCAATCCTTGGTATCATCAATCAATCAATCAGTAGGGCTCGGGGTGTGGCACAATGGTAGAACATCCCTGGTTCAATTCCCAGTACCAAAAAAAAAAAAAAAAAAATGAGGAAGGTAGGAAGCCTACCCGAGCCCCACCCACCTCCTTCTCCAGGGCTCTGGCACAGCCTACACTACTATGGTGCCTTCACAAAAACAAAGAGACGTCCCCACGATCCCCCAGTGTGTCCAGGAGGTAACCGGATTTGAGGCCACTGCAGCCGGGCTTCAGTGGCCCTCCCAAGACTTCTGCCTCAGTCAAATCAGCCAGCCGTGGGCTCTCTGGCTCCGAGAGCCACCTAATCAGTCATCAGAAACAGCAGCCTCTACCCAAAAACAGAGTCGGGCTGGGCGCAGCGTTACCAGCGACACGACACCCCCCTCGCCAAGCTGTTGGAGCCTGATGGTTCTTTAATTATTCATCCCTGCTGAACACGCAGGCTCAGGGCTTCAGCCAGGCTTGTTGGAGCTCGCCCATGGGGGGAGCCTGGGTAATGAGTCCAGACCTGTCAAGAAGTTTGGAATCTGTCTGCCCACAAAATGTTCCCTGGTCCTCCCACATCATCCCCATCAGGCACAGATGACAACGAGCCAGGATGCTTCAAAGACTCCAAGGGCCCGGGCTGGGCTTGCAGTATGGATGGCTAAACCCCACCTGGCCTGATTTCTATTGCATCCAGCCCAAGGTCTTTCAGAT